TGATTTGTGATTTCACAAATAGTACTGTAGTAGTTCATCCGTTTTGAATATATTGCATAGTATGAGTAAAAGTGTTGTTGGCCAGCCAGTGGCAGAGGAAGGGGGGTGCGGTGGGGGTGGTTCACCCTGGGTATCATCCCTGAGGGGGGTAACATTGCCGTGCCATCCCCCTGGGATGCTCGCAGCTCACTGAGGGCGACACCCCCCTTGAGATACTCACTGTGGGTGGCACCCCCTTGAGATGCTCACTGCTCGCGGCACCCCCCTGGGATGCTCACCGCTAGCCCTGCCTCCCTTCCAGCATCTGTGGCCAGCTTCAATAAGCACACAGTTCAAGATGTCCCAAAATGATGAATGACCATTGTCTTATTTTTTTACTTTCCATTTTTTCCTTCATGTGGAAGAAGATTTCAGTCTTCTGAACAATCTTTTCCCCTCCCTTGTACTACTCTTTGAAAAATAGACATGTGCTTCATAGATTCTCAGAGCTTGCTAGCAGTAGTTCGGAGTTTCTGAACTCAGGAGACCATATCACAGCGAAACCTGTAAAAACTAAGTACCCATGAGGCAGAACCTCTAGCTGTGAAATGAACCTGACAATTGTAATCGTACTCAAGTTTTTAAAGCAGGGATGGAGAAACTGTGGTCCTCCAGATGTGGTTGGACAACAAATCCCATAATCCCTGGCCATGCTGGTTGGGACTGATGGGAGTTGGAGTCCAACGTCTGGGGAGCCACAGGTTTCCAATCCTTAATTAAGGTGCTTGTTCCCAGCCTGGTACTACCAAGTAAAACTGTTAGTCTGCATGGCATCTAAGACTTGCCTAGGACTCTCCAGACTATGGCATTACATTATGGAATGATCACAGTGCCCCATCATGTATTAATAAAGTAGTTTCCTTCATATGCTGTAATTTCGATTCTTAAATTGCTTTATATGTGTCTTTTTAAGAGATACTCCTACAATCCTCCTTTGTGCTATCTATTATTATCAATGCCATGGACACGGCTCATTACCACTCCCACTCACCACTTAGAAAATGAGAGAATGTCTTTATTAGGTGATCAGTAAGTGCTACAGAACACAATTGTTTAGCAAGCTGGTATACACATATGTGTTGCTTCATTTTATTACCTAGCTACTATATGTTGCAGGTCAAAAACAATGCAGAATTTTAGCATTCTGTATTCTTCTGTTTTACATCAGTTTACAATTTTCCTGATTTTATTAATTTTGCTAATGATACTTGAATCTAATATGAAAAAGGAAACTCCTGAAGGTGGTGGAGTCTCCTGCATAGGAGGTTTCTAAGCAGAGGTTAGGTAGCAATCTGTCATGAATGCTTTAGCTGAGATACCTGCATTGCAGGGAGTTGGACTAGATGACACTTAGGGCTCCTTCCAATTCTACAATGTTATGATTCTATGAACATTTACTATTTGTTTCTGTCTTGCAAAGACAAAGGCATTCTGATACCAGCGCAGGAAAACATTCAAGAATATTAACAGTGAGAATGAATCATATGTATAAATGTAAGTTGAGATTATTGTCCCAGCTTTCTTGTAACCTGTAAAAAACAAGGAGCAGATGGGGAAAATCATAGCCTCAGAGTATTTTAGAGTTGAAAGGTACTCTGGGGGTCATCTAGTCCAAACCCCTTCTATGCAGGTATCTCAGCTAAAGCTTTCATTGCAGGTGACCATTCAATCAGTTTCACTTTCTAAATTTCTGTTCCACTGCTGAGCAGCTCTTATTGTCAGAAAATTCTTCCTGATAGTCAGACTCTCCATTTTATGTAACTTGAATCCATTGGTTAATGTTCCTGGGTAAAGTGATTGAGAGAGCAGTTGCTGAACAACTTGGTGGATTTCTGGATGAAACATCGGCTCTGGATCCCTTCCAGTCTGGCTTCCGCTCTGGTCATGGGACCGAGACGCCTCTGGTCGCTCTAACAGATGATCTCTGCAGGCAGCTGGATCGAGGCAGGTTGGGGCTGCTGATTCTTTTAGACCTGTCAGCAGCCTTCGACATGGTTGATCACGAACTTCTGGACCACCGCCTCGCCGACGTGGGGACCCAGGGCACAGTCCTTCAATGGCTGCACTCGTTTCTCTCTAGTCGGGGACAGAAGGTGGCACTTGGGGGGGAACTGTCGTCGCGCCACTCCTTGGTGTGTGGAGTGCCGTAGGACGCAATACTCTCTCCGATGCTTTTCAACATCTCTATGTGCCCCCTTGCCCACCTTGTCTGGAGCTTTGGTTTGGGTTGCCATCAGTATGCTGATAACACCCAACTCTATCTGTTGATGGACGGCCATCCTGACTTGGCTCCAGACACACTGATCAGATGTTTGGAAGCTGTGGCTGGATGGTTACGTGGGAGCTGGTTGAAGTTAAATCCTTCAAAGACAGAGGTCCTTTGGCTGGTTCAGGACGACATGGGATTGGGTGACCAACTCCCATCTCTTGTGAGAGCGCAGTTAGTGCCAGCGCCGCCCATTAAGAGTTTGGGTGTAATCTTTGACACCTCCCTTTCTATGGAGGCGCAGGTTGCAGCTATAACAAAGGCGGCATTTTTTCATCTCCGCCAAGCTAAGGAGTTGGCTCCTTACCTCTCTCGTCCTGACCTAGTCACTGTGATCCACACGACGGTCACCTCCAGGCTTGATTATTGTAACTCAGTCTACTTGGGGCTGCCCTTGAGACTAACCCAGAAACTCCAGCGGGTGCACAATGCCGCAGCAAGACTCCTTACAGGGTCCTCGCCACAGGATCACATTCACCCAGTGCTATACCAGCTGCACTGGCTCCCGTGGAGTACAGGATCAGGTTTAAGGTGCTGGTTTTAACCTTTAAAGCCCTGTACGGCCTAGGACCCTTGTACCTATGGGACCGCCTCTCCTAGTATGTCCCACGGAGGACTTTACGGTCTTCAAATAAAAATATCTTGGAGATCCCGGGCCACAGGGAGGTTAGACTGGCCTCGACCATATTCAGGGCTTTTTCAGCCATGGCCCAAATCTGGTGGAACGCTCTTTCACAAGAGACTAGGGCCCTGCGGGACTTGACATCTTTCTGCAGGGCCTGAAAGACAGAGCTGTTCCACAAGGCCTTTGGCCAAGGCACAGTCTGACCCCCTCTCTCCTTCTGTAATCTTCAAAGAACTCTAACCCAATGGTTGCCATTAATTTGATTCTGAATTGATTCTTCTTGTTGTTAGTCGTTTAGTCGTGTCTGGCTCTTTGTGGACCAGAGAACGCCAGTCTCCTGTCTTCGAATTGATTCTAGAATGTATTTTAATTAATTGATGGTGCGATTTTATGTACACTATGCTATTTTTACCTGTTGTTAGCTGCTCTGAGCCTAGCTTTGGCCAGGGAGGGCGGGATGCAAATATTATTATTATTATTATTATTATTATTATTATGATGCTTGCTACATCTTCCATGTGACAGCCCTTTAGATATTTGAAGGTGACTATGTTATCTCTTCTCAGTCTCTTCTTTTTCCAGGCTAAACATACCCAACTCCTACAACTGTTCCTCATAAGGCTTGGTTTCCAAACTCTTGATAATCTTGGTTACCCTCCTGTGCACATCTGTTGGACTTTACAGTCTTGGCAGAGTTTCAGTTCCAAAAGATAATGGGGTGGTTGAAGTCTCCCATGACTACTCTGTCTCTCATTTTTGAACGTTTGGTAATCTGCTGTAGGAAGGCATCATCCAAGTCTTCAGTCTGATTTATAGCAGACACTCACATTAAAAGTCAGTTTTGTTTCCCTCTTGTTTCCCTCTTTGTTTCCCTACAATGTTTACTCATATACTTTCAATATGCTTTCCATGTCCCAAGTCATGGATCTCTTCAAAAGTGTACACGCCTTTATATATAATGCTACTCCTCCCCTCTTCCTGTTTGGTCTATTCCAGTGGTTCCCAATTAGCTAATTACTGAAGACCCCCTATTTATTAAAAGCCAATCCACGGACCCCCTACTTTTGAAAATTTTAATAACCCTATGGGAGTTACTTCTGCAAAGCATTTTTTTAAAAAAAGAAAATGTGGGGTAGCCCCTAATAAGCAAGGGATTTTAGGTATATCTGGTTTTCAACATTGTGGTATATTAGCAGATAAACATCATGATATTCTGGACCCCTAATTGGGAACAACTGGTCTATTCCTTTTGAACAGCTTATACGCCTCAATTTCTACATTCCATCGATGAGTCTCATCCCACTAAGCTTCACTAATTCAGTGTTAGACCATATTTGTTATCCTGTATTAAGACCTCAAATTCATTTTGCTTGTTTCCTATATTCTGTGCATTAGTATGGAGACAACTGATACCATGAGTCATTCCCATCAGCTGCTTCCTTTTTGTAGTTTCCTGCCCTTTAGCAGGAAATAGGCCTTCGGCCTCATTGAGGAAGGCTCCTCTTACGGTTTTAACATTACATTGTTACTGAGTGCCTCATATTGTTCCCAGCATATCATCTCTATTCTTCATGATGATGGAAAACCCATTCCTTAAAATATTTGCTGTGTTTTGGAGCTCCAAGACACTTCAACTTGCATGCTGTTCATAAAACTGAATTGCAAAGGAAGTCCGCATTTTGTGCAAAGATCCATGTATGCATTGGAGCCTCCACAGGCTAATTACATTTTTAACATAGCTAAACAAATGTGCTTGTATCTTCAGGGGAGTGACAATGTGTGTGAGAGACACATAAAAATTGTTGGTTAAACACTTCATCAAAGGCATAATAAAAAGAAATTCCTTGTTCCAGCCAATATATGAGTACAGAATAGATCATGACGGCTGACATTTCCCAAGATACCTCCTAATCTTACAAGCCTATTCACAAAGCTTTGTTGTCCATATCAGTTCATCTTTTCTCCAGGGTCAATTATGCTGTTTGTATTCAAATCAATCCCTTAATCAAATCCTTTGATAGTTTGAGCCAGCCAGGCAGATATTTATCACATAAATGTAATAGAGGTATCTTTGTTTCAGAGTGGCATACTTTAATGGTGTGTTGCCACACTGAACCACTTATACATATGTATGCACCCAGAAATCCTTCTTATCGGCGTCCAAGAATGCCCTGTCATCTCCTCCTCACTTCTTAGTAAAGACCTATGAAGGAATCATATTCTCATTATACTGATAAAACATGCATCACCCAGATGTGTGACAGAACATTCTAATATAGCGTCTATTAAACAGGCTGTTAAATGTTTCCCTAAAAAATAGTTGAATTTTGAAAAAAATGTCACTGTAGCTAGGCAGGAGAGCAAAGTTGACATAATAAATATCATTATCACTATCACTAATAATAGTAGTAGCTATATTAAAAAAGTACGACTGCTACTAACAGTCCTGCTTAGGAAGTTATTTCCAAAGCCAGTAAGAAGATGTCTCCCCTACTCCCCAACCTCCATTTCTTTAAACACCAGTACTATTTAATTGTTTCTTTTTGCCATGTTCCCTGTTTTAAGGTTACAATTTGCATGTGAAGTGGCAAAAGCAAAGTGAAAACAAACCTTCCATCTGAATATGAGATCCAAATTGATTATCACATTTTGGGCAGGGGGGAATTTCTCTTTAGGTTATATTAATATAATGAAAATGTTAATGAAGAATTGACATGTGCCCTCTCTAAAATAGGAAGATTTGAAGTTGCCTTTGGGAACAACTTGCTAACTGGCTTTGAAGAACCTATCTCTGTTCTGGGAGTTGAGACAAGCTGCATTGGGCTGCCTTGTGACACCAAAATAACATATGCTCATGGAAATAAAAACACAAAAATCCTTAGGTTTTCATTAAAAACAAACTTTTACAAAACATTTGGCTTGGCACAACATTGTCAGGTGCAAAATGTAAAGAGCTTGAAGTTTATTGTTATATTAATTCTGAAGAAAGTTGCTTCTAAATGTTAGGGGCAACGTGAAGAAATATTGTAGGTACATTTTTACATGTCTGGTGGGCATGATTTCATATTGTTTCATATATTTTTTAAAGTGACAATGGCCTCTACAGCCCTGTGGTGTTTGCCTTCCTAGGTGTGTGACATCATACTGGGTTCATAAGGAAAGGGTTAACTAATTATAAAATAACTAACCAATGGGAACCCAAGGGGAGGAGTTAGAGTTAGAGTTAGGGGGGTTGAGAAGTTAGTCTGGAGTTAGAGAAGAGATGGAGAGGATAAGTCTATGGGTTGGGCTAGTCTGATTTGAGAGAGTGAGAGAATCTGTTAAGAGGAGTCAGTCAAACAGGTGAGATAATCAGTCAGAAGGTATTAGGAAGGTATAGGCCAGTAAAGAAACTAATGTTAAGAAACTGACAAGAATATTATCTGAGAAACCATAAACTTGTTAATACTTATAAAATAAACTTGTTTATTTGGTTCAATTTTAACAACTATCTGGACTCAGTGTCTACCCGAGAGTAATGGGTTGGAGGCAGTGGGAAAGCGAGCACAGTGGTGGCACAGGGATCAATAGACCGTTAAACATCTGGGGACCCTGTGTTATCGCCACAAACCCTTAGAAACAAAATATGAAATGGTAAATGGATTGAACTATGGACCACAGCTTTATTCTTCTACATGTGTGAATTGTAGCATTTTTAATTCTTTAAAGCAATTGCTCTTTATTACTGCCACCCACCAAAACAGTCCAAGTTGGACAGTGGGAGGGATAGACAGAAAGACTATACAGAAAACAGTTGTAATAGACTAATAATGATGCTGTCTGGATGCTCCACAAACAGTGAGTGAACAAAAGATGCCAATTACAAAGAAGATGGGCAGGTGCGAAAGCAACCTCTTTTTCTCTCTTTGCATAGACAGTTTGCTTCTTTCGAGTATAGTGCAAACCTGTAAACATGACACAAGATAATGCTAGATAATCATATTCTACTTAGAAGTTAATTGTAAAATGCTATCCCAATTGCAACAGCATAAACACCGCACTTACTCTCCAGAGGTCTGATTGGCAATGACTGTATTAACACAAGGCATGTGCAATATTTTTTATTTAAACAATAGTCCCTACCCCTGAGAATTTATCTTGGAATAATTAGCTGCCTTGTGAACTATGCCTTGAACAATTGTTAACATAACCTAGTGATCTAATTTAGTTCAATTGTTGGTTGAACTAATAATAAAATATGACATTCTAAGACTGGGCTAATCATTTGAAGCTAATTCTTTAGGTTAAGAGATACGCTTGTGCTCATAAGATAACGTGTGGTAACTGGACATGTGTTCATGGAGGAAGGGGGATTGGGATCATGCCAAGAGATCCTGCCCTTCTTAGTTCACTTGTGAACTAAGTCTATGTACATACAAATTGTACATGCATGGGCAATGCACATGTGTAAAAATCAAACTTGTTAAGCATGCAGCACCTAAAGACCCACATCATCCACATGAACTTATCTATTTCAAAAAGATGTACAATCATACCCAATCTTACTTTAGATCAGACCCATTTGGTGAGCACCATAACACGACATTTTGTGCAGTGTTGCATGGCTTGTGGAACTACTTCCCAGGCGGGGGAAATCCAGTAAGCCCCTTCTCTTTGACTTTTTAAATGTGTCTTGAAAGCATTTCTAGTCAGGAAGAACTTTTATGATTAGTTTTATTAAAGAGAGGAGGAGCGGAGATCCTCAGCATCCAGGTAAATTCTAACAATGGGGTGTGTGTGTGTTATTTTTTTTAAATGTGAAAGTAGTATTTTAGCCTTTTCCTCTGCTTAGATTTTTTCGGTGTCTTTGTGTGCTGATGTTTTTAATAATTGGAATGATATCAAAATACTATACTCAGAGCAGACCCACTGAAATAAATGGATTTATGCTACTAAGTGGGTGTATTCTGAATACAACTAATGTTGGATATAACCCCCGAGTTTTATGAAAGGGGTGGGAAACTTCCAGTCCACAAATCAATTGAGATCCAACAGATGCTGTCCTTATCATCCCCTTCACCGGCTGTAAAAAAAACACCCTCAAGTGCTTTTGCCTAGTTGGAAAGTTTCCTTGAACTTTGATAATGCTTCTTGTTTAAGTGGATTGGAAGATGGAAAGGGGGTATAGAACGATTTGCTTTTGTGTAGCTGCAATGGTGCCCTCTGTACAAAGTCACATTGTTTCCTCCCTTCCCCTCTCCCTCTGCCCCACACCTACCACTGTCATGCGGCTCTTGGGGGCTTCCCTGAAGGGGGATGCAATCTTTGTCCTGAAAAAGGTTCCCTACAGCAGTTTTATGGTGTGCCCTTCCCAGGTACCACTACAGATGGCTGGTATAATAATATTTAATTATAAACAAGCACACAGACACATCACTGCTGAGGTGCACTCGCCATTGTGAGGCCTGAGGAAATTATGATGATGCCCTTCCCAGAGGTTGCCGTTGTTAGGATACTGCCAGGGAGATAAAGTCCATCATGGCCCCCAAGCCGTCTGCCGGACGATCCATCGACCTCCCGTAGGCACGCAGCGACATGAGTTTCTAGAAAATCTCTTGCCACATTCTAGAGCTCATGCACACTCTATCAGCAATTAGCACAGCCAAAAGTTGCACTCAGGAGAGCATTATTTACAAGTTTATTCAGCGTTGATCAGAACACAGAAAAACATGACTGCCTGCTGATTTAGTGTCTGCGACACACAGAGAAAACGAAAGCAACAGCAAACATAAACATCCTGTGAACAGGAAATACGCAGACTCTGACTCACAAAGCCTGCTCCCTTTTAAGGTGGAACGGAAATATCCTAACATCCTCCCCCTTTCCGTGTAACCTGTAGTACCTGTGGTTCAACCCAATTGCAACCTTTGTACGTAAACCTTAAGTTGTTCTCTGTTAACAACCTTAGACAACAGATCAGCAGGAATTTCATTTCCTGGCATGTAGGACACCTGAATGAGTCCTTTCTGAATACACTCTCTTGCACGATGTAGCTTAATCTGCAAGTACTTGGTCCTTTGCTTGCAACTCTCCGAGTTCAGCAAAGCCAAACACGATCTATTGTCTTGATACACTTGTACAGGACATTTCACAGAAACTCCGATGTCCTTAAACAGTTGCATCAACCATTCACAATCCATGAGTGAAAATGACAGAGCATTGAGTTCTGCTTCACAGGAACTTAGGCTCACTGTCGTCTGCTTTTTGCACAACCAGTCAAACAGGCAGTGGTTGTACATGTAGCATACTCCAGAAGTGCTTGTACCATCCGTGGTGTCACTTCCAAAACTTGCATCTGCAAAGATTTCAAGACCTCCAGTCTTCTGACTGGTGAACCTCAGCCTGTAGTGCAAAGTCCCTTTCAAATAGCGGGCTATGCGCTTCAGAGCTTTCCAATCCTGAACAGTAGGATTGTTGGCATGTCTGCTAAGCAGGTTACAGCTTACAGCTATGTCAGGTCTTGAGCATCTAGCAATGAAATTCAACTTGCCTAGAATGCATCTGTACAGCGTTGTGTCAGAAAACGCTTCAGCAGTACTGTCTACCTGGTAACCTGTCACCATCGGTGTGTCTGCTGGGTTTGCATCAACCAAATTCAACCTGGTTAATACATCAGCAATTTTCTGTGTTTGGTGTACCAGAAAATTACCTGCTTGGTCCCTCTCCACCTGCAGAGAAAGATAGTTGGATACCTCACCAAGATCCTTCATGTCAAAGTGCTCCTTCAGCTGAGCTAGGGTGCTTTGGTAGAAAGCCTGATTCTTCCAAAACATCAGAAGATCATCAACAAAACATAAACAATACAGTTTGTTTTGCCCCTCCTCCTTGACAAACACACATGGATCAGCTTTGCCCTGGTGAAAACCTAGAGAAGCAACGTCTCAGTGAGTTTTGTGTTCCAACACCTGGCACTCTGCTTGAGACCATACAAGGATTTCCGCAGTTTACAGACCATTCCCTTCTGTATCTGCATCCCATCAGGTGGAAGCATAAACAGCTCCTCCCCCAGAATCCCGTACAAAAAAGCTGTATTAATGTCATGATGGGAAACATGCAGTTTCTCCTCCGCAGCGATCTTGAGCATCAGCCGAATGCTCTCATATTTGACGGTGGGTGAGTAAGTCTCGTGGTAATCCTGTCCTGGTACCTGTGAAAAACCTCTGGCAACCAATCTGGCTTTGTGTCTTACAACCTTGCCATTCTGGTCTGTCTTGGCCTTGAAGACCCATTTGCTGCCAACCAGTCTCATCCCTGGGACTACCGGTACCAGTTCCCAAGTTTGGTTCCTGTTCAAGGAATCAACTTCAGCCTTCATGGCATTAAGCCAAGGCTCAGCATCTTTAGAGGTTAACTCCTGAACCTCTTTGAAGCTTGAAGGTTCCCACACCTTCTCTGAGCTACTAAGAACAGCAGTTGCTGTCTTAGCAAACTCATCAGCAAATCTCTTTGGAGGTCTGCCCTTTGTGGCTCTTTCAGATCTGCGTACTAGACGCAAGTCTTCTGGACTCATCTCCTCCTTCTTAGGAGAAAAGTGACCAATGGTGAACAGTGGTTCTTCCAGTTCATTGTCAGACGTATCAGATGGTCTGACTGAGGCCTTTGCGCTCTTGTAGTCTGCTGTGTCATCACTGTCACTGACACCAGCAGCAGCGCCGCCCACTGAACTGGAATCCGAACTCTGATCATCATCATCATCATCATCCTCAGCAGCTTCCTCAGCTTTAGCTGCTTCTTTGACATCACCCTCATCCTCCTCTGGGTAACTCTGGAAAATTCCCACATTTTCCCCCCACTTAGGATTGTACTCAACACTCTTTGTGAACTTAATGGACTTAGAGTTAGTCATCCATACCCTGTATGCACCTGTTTCGTACCCCATGAACAAACCATGTGCCCCACGCTTCCCAAGCTTGTTGCTCTGTGGGGTGTGTACCCACATGTCAGAACCAAAGATTCTCATGTGTTTGATGTTGGGTTTCTTACCAAACATCTTCTCATAGGGGTACAACCAATAGGTGATGACAATCTGCAATTATAAGTGTAAGCAAAATTCGACAGAGCCTCCCCCAATACTTATCAGGGAGATTGGCATCATGCAACAATGTCTTCATTCCTTGCAGCAACGTTTGATTTGCTCGCTCCGCAAGCCCATTCATCCATGGCGATCTAGGCGTTGACAAGTCATGCTGGATTCCCTTCTCAGTCAGGAAAGCTTCAAACTGCTGAGAAGTGAACTCCCCGCCTCGATCAGTAAAGAGACAGCCAATACGTTTACCGTGAACACTCTCTAACCAAGCACAGAATGCCTTGAACTTAGGAAACGCTTGCGATTTCTGCTCGAGCATAAACACATGAATGTACCTGGAAAAAGAATCAATTAGAACCATGAAGTACCTTGCTCCACCCAAAGAGGGCGCAAGTGGACCAACCAGGTCTGCGTGCACTAGCTGGTAGGGTTTGGAAGCCTGCCTGCTAGACTCCTTGCCTTTTGGAGCAACCTTCACCTTGTTCTCTGCACAAGATACACATTTCATGTGAAATCTCACCTTCTTGAGGTTTGAAGGAGATAAAGAGATGGCGGTCTTTTGAGACATGGCGGGTACAGCCTGAATCAACAACAAACCTGGCCTTGGCCTTTGGAGCAGTCTTTCTGGCAAGCAAAACCTTGTTTTCCACCGGCGTGGGCTTTTGCAGCTTGCCCCCCTGCTCCTGGCCATCAGACTTGCCTTTAGCCTTTGGTGAAGTTGTGCCAGTAAACAATGCCTTGTTTTTCTCTGGCGTGGGCTCTTCACCCTCCCTCTGCTTCTGGCCATCTGCAGGCGTCTGCCTCTGTTTACCTTTGCCCTTCCGGCCTCTGCAAAGGCGATGACCTTGGTTCCCATGAGAAACAGAGCTCTCAGCTGCCGACTCCTTGGCTCCCCCTGGAGGCTGGAATGCTGCCTGGGATGACGTGACAGTCAGCTCCCCTGCAGCTTGCAACCGGTGCCCTCGGCATCCCTGCATTCACTCGCATTCTGGGAAACAGCCAGGACCTCCGATGCAGTCAAACTCTGGGCTGGGATGACTGGCAGATGGGCTATCTTCAAAGCATGCCACATATTACGTGCAGTCACATTGCCAGCAAGCGTCTTAATTTCCTCCAGAGAGACGGACAAGACTAGTATGTCTATCGCCTTCGAATTAGCGGCCCTCCATCTATCTGTCAGGGGAACTGGAGGGGCTTCAGACACAGTATGCCACACTCCAAACTGACGCAGCAAGCTCTCACACCACACAGCCCAGGTCCCATAATTGTGCCGATTTAACTTTGGGCACTCAGCAGCCTCAGAAGCCTGGAAAAACTCCATTCCAGCTTTTTACTTGAGCCTTGAGCCTTTATGCCTTCAAAGACGTCTTATCTTAGCAGCTCATTTATCACGAAGCCTTTGGCGTGTCTCCCAGATCCATTAATCTGCCGGAGTTCAAAGGCCCTTGCCTCGGCAAACAGAAAAGCCTCACTTTCGCTTTTCTTCCACATACCTTTCAGCAGTCTGTCGCAGTCTTACTCTCCTGTAAGTGCTGTGAATCTGGGCCCGAAACCTGTTGTTGGGATACTGCCAGGGAGATAAAGTCCATCATGGCCCCCAAGCCGTCTGCCGGACGATCCATCGACCTCCCGTAGGCACGCAGCGACATGAGTTTCTAGAAAATCTCTTGCCACATTCTAGAGCTCATGCACACTCTATCAGCAATTAGCACAGCCAAAAGTTGCACTCAGGAGAGCATTATTTACAAGTTTATTCAGCGTTGATCAGAACACAGAAAAACATGACTGCCTGCTGATTTAGTGTCTGCGACACACAGAGAAAACGAAAGCAACAGCAAACATAAACATCCTGTGAACAGGAAATACGCAGACTCTGACTCACAAAGCCTGCTCCCTTTTAAGGTGGAACGGAAATATCCTAACAGCCGTTGGCTACAGACTACCCGTGACACCACAAAAGCATACAACAACTGAACGGATACAAAGGTGGGCAAGAATCTCTCTCACTGAACAATTAGGAATTATTTCTACATAATATTGTGTGTCAAATGAGCTATAATAATTAATTGCACAAGGAAAGGAAGCTCAAGAACCACAGTTTCCAGTTCTGGTTTGTTTTTCTAAACTGGTGAATCGACTCCATGCTACTCTATAGTTCAATCCATATGTTACAGTAGCAGCACCTAACAAGAGCACAAATGAATCAGGTGGATGAAAAAAATATTAAGGATCCAGCACTGTCAAGAAGATGTCTGACTAAGCTATATCTATATAAACATTACTTTTTGTTTCTATATTATATCTGTTTACTTCTCATCTTTGGCATGTAGTAGACACCAATTGCTTAAGATGAATTATTATTTTTCAGCAATAGAATCTTTTGGGATTACCATTTTGCTGCTGCTGTTGTCAAGTTGAATTTTATCTTCATTAGGATGAGAAGCAGGCCCTTTGATTAATAAATATATCTACGGGGAATTTAAATATGTTTTGCAACAGCACAATAGATTTTGCCAACCTAACTCATGTAGCCCAAATATTCATTGTGTGTTTAACTATGTTAAAGCGATCACTATCTACCAACAATTATTTTCTTATTACTTCCATCACATTTCTATATTACTATATTGCTTGCTGCAATACTTAAACACACATATCATTGACAGCAAATTATTGCGGCTCCTATTACACTGCAATATTCAACTCCATTATTGAATACAAGGATACCTGCTATATATTTTTAAAGTATCAATATTTTCACTAGTTTGCCTGCATCTAACAGTTATCATTTTTACAGACACTCACATTTTATAATACCATGTTTTGCAGCTATCAATCTTTAGGCACATTTAAGTATAAAATTATAATGCTGGTTTTAATTCTGTTTTTGAAATATTTATGCAGAATAGCAACTAGATTAGACAGCATCTGATTCCCAACTATTTTGGCAATTTAAAAAGAGCTGATGAAGTCTATGATTTTGTTTCTATTGTGCTATTTCAGAATATACAAAGAAATGAATTTCTCTCAGTCTTGGTTTCAGTCTTGTACACAGGCTGCTGGGATGCCACTGAGTTCAGCGTGACTTACGCTGCCTAACAACGTGCAAGTATATCACCTTCTCCAGCAAAATATCCTTGAATCTTCATTTCAGTGGATAATTGAGAGACCTCATGGGTTGACTGCCACAGAAATATTATCAAACAGGATCAATCATACCATCATTGTCACAAGAAAGTCAAAATGCCTCTGGGATATGTTAGGAAACATTTCAAAACAACATTGTGAAAAATAAAGAGACTGAATGTGTGCAATTTGATGAGCATCTATCCATTCTTTTCATGAAAATATTGTAAGAACCACCTTCTGTAGCTGTAGGAAGTCATTTCAGTGGCAGTCTGGCCTTCTTCAGATGGACTCAGTCTATCTCCTCTAGTTGACAACCATATGTCTCTGTGATGCCTACAAACAGGTCATGAAGGTAGTAAGCCTCTTCCACAATATTTTCAATAAAGCAAAGGAAAAAGATGTGGAACCTATGGGGGTCCTATGGGGTAACATAGACTATTCATTTTTATGTTCTCGCTGCCACTCAGTTTTTCAGTACAATGGCTGTGTGAGCACCACATAACATTATGGTGGTAGCCCTAAGAACTCTTGGTGCATTTATGTGAGGACCACCATTTGGTCTGCACTAGATCTTAGGGTGTGTTCCTATGTATGCACATTATTTGATACATTCATGTGTAAAACATCCCTTACAGATCAAACAAAACAGAGCTTTCATATCACTGCACTTCAAACACAGGCAATAGCTTTAGCTGTTTGTTACTAGATGATAAGATAAACATTAATATTTTTAAATATGATTAAGAGATACCAAATGATGCAAAGCCATGCTTGACTCAGTCCTAAGACATTTTAAATACAAGACATGGGTATAACTGGTTAGTGAATGACTAAATGTTTCCATTGCACACCAAATACATACCTGGAAAGCTGAACAATACAATCCTACTCCAGTCTGCTTAGAAGACTACTTTTATCCAATTACAGAATTGATTTTTTCACTCCTTTGATGTCCTTTTATTGCTGGTCTTACCGTGTAAGCAAGATTTGATATGTGGAGAGTGACTTTGGCTCTGAAGGTTTTGTAGCGTTTGTCAGACTATCATTCTCTATTGTCCAAAGCAAACGGCTGTTTCAAGGAGGAAATGCAAGCATAATACCAATGAATGCCACCAGGCAGGTTCAAATAAACAAACGCAAGCAAGCTATGGACTAATTAAAATAAATCAGGACCTCCTCCATTCACGGGGGAGGGGGTCTAATTCTTAAGCAATGACACAAGCTGAAAATAATAAAACATTGTCTGATTGCTTTATATTACTCCGCCATAATTCTTTCTTTAGGTGGCTGTCAGACTAAGGTGGCTCTTCCTTGTGCGCTAGCTATGAGGTATCTCTAGATATGAAAATGCAATGGAATTGAGATATACTATCACAAGATGGCATTCCTGAAGATGATTGGCTTGACAAGGAACGAGCAGCTCTCGTATTGTTGCGTATTAATGTATGTGTGAACAATGGGGATCTGTTTTGTTCATGTGAATGTTGCCTTTCTGAGAGAATATTATGGAAGTATGGTTAGTTGTAATTCACCTTTCTCTCCTTGCAATTAGAAGAGCTGGGTGACTATTAATATATAAAATTAAATTATATTTGAGAGACATCTCACATTAAAAAGTATGAAAAAATTAATTATGCAGTAATTACCTGGTTCACAGGCAGCAAATGTTACCCATTTGAAGCTTGAATAAACCCTGTAAGATACTCTGCTATATGACTTTACTGCTTTAATAAAGTTACCAAATTAATTGGAAGGCATCGGGCAATAGAGATTGTAAAATGTCTTTAATTTTAATAAGTCTCAGAGATGAATTAACTGGACAACATTGCAGTTCTATTGTTGTGTTAATACAGTGCGCTCATCTGTTTCTTCCCTTTTATTCACAGCATCTGTTTTCTACAATGCTACCATTTTACAAGGGTTGCACTTCATGGCTCAAAGAGTTCAGACTTTGGGTGGGATATTTTCTCTGTGCGATAAATTACAGTGCATGACATTTTCACACCTGCTCACTCTATGTTTGCTAAAATCTGGCATTTCTGACTCTGATTCTGCAGGTGGTGTTTTATATAGTCACCTTTCTTGTTTTCCTGGCTGCAGTATCTGCCTTTCCTTATTCCTTTTAACCGAAATACCTTATTTCTCTAGACTTTGTTGGGGGTCATACATATCTCAAATGCTTATCTTCCTGTGCTGTAACATTGGGAAGAATACTGACACTATGGAATAAGACTATCAGGTTGAAATTTTTTTTTTAAATAGTTTGGATCAGAAATGCCCCCAGGCACTTGTACCCACCTCCTTCCAAAATTCCATAAACGTTGTATAGTCCTTATAATTTGGTGCACAAGAGAGAGATAGAATAACTGATGCCTGTTTCTGCCAGGCAATGTGGGAATATCATAGCAGGGATGTGGAACCTGTAGCCCTCCAAATATTGTTGGATTCCAATGACCATCAGCCTCAGCCATCATGGGCGAGTCTCAGGGATGAGGGAAGCTGTAGTCTAGCATCATCTGTAGGGCTCCAGGTTTCTGACCCCTGCTAGAAGGTATTGGAAACATCCTCAAGACAACAGAGCAGCAGGGAAAGGATTGCACACTCCAACATACTGTATTTCCAGGAGCTACATACATGATACAACACATTTAACTTAATAGACACTTAACTAATACACACTCTTGTATGGTTCCTGAAGCAGAAATACTATGAAACAGTACATCTGCTTGTGCGTGATTTTTGTGTGTGGATAACACACAAAATATTTGCAGCTGTTTAGTGCAATGATATCTCAACCCATGACTAGTAGTATAAAACTAACTCATTTGCAATATTTTGCACCTAAGGGATCCTATACAAACACATTGCTTGTTTTGTTCTCTGGGGTGTAATAATTACCCAAGAAAATAACACTTGTGATGCAGGCCAGATTACTAATGATGACGGAGTGATCTTGAGGAGAAGCATGCTATGCCCACCTGTCAAATGGCATATCTCATAACAACTGCACAACTACACCGCCTCACTGCAGTCACATGACAACAGATGGTGAAGGCTGCAACTGTTACTATTAATATCTAGGGCTGAGCCAAAACATCATTGATTTCTAATTTTGTCGTGCAAGATGCCATCCAGGGAGGTAAGTCTGCCAAGAAAAGGAGAGGGATCCCACTGAGATCTGAAGTTGGCTGCCGTTTGCATGTACTAAAGTGGCTGCATCTTGCCAAGAGTTGGGAAGGTTAAGCTGGGAATCCACAGGCAGCTGAGTTTGCTTCTCTTAAAGTGACTTCAGTGTGCCTCTCAGTAGGAGCTTGACAGTTATGGATTGCCACAGGCATGCAGGAACCAAAGGCGAGATGAAACATTAATGTAGGACAAGCTTGTTTTATATATATAAAAAACAGAAACCTTAAAAATCTTACATGTGGATTTCTAGGCTGTTGGTATTTTGCCTTGATCATATTTGGGGGAATTGCTTTGAGGATTGGATGAGTCTTAATGGCTACAGCTTGTTTGGGCTATTAATGTTATGATATTCCTCTCTGTGTTTTTTAGACACAGCCTCAAGCATTAAAGGTGCCAGCTTGGGTCCTGAATTGCAGTGCTGGGTGAAGCTTTCCTTTTGCATTCACTCTTTTTCCTGGCAGCCCCTCAAGCTATCCTGAACAGGCTGGGCCTATGATGTGAAGTGATTTGATGGGGAACAGATGAAAACTGAGCATGAGTACCTGCCTATCCCATTCAGGAGAGTCCCCTACCCTGAGACAGGCATTTGGGTGGTCAGTGGGCTGCCCATCCCTTTATGCTTACTCTTCTATGGATTTGAACAGTCCAGTTTTATAATCTTAGGTAAAGGTAAAATTAGGTGAAAAAGGTAAAATTAGGTCCAGTCGTGACCGACTCTGGGGTTGCTTCCGGGTCATGTGGCCAGCATGACTAAGCCACTTCTGGCGAACCAGAGCAGCGCACGGAAATGCCGTTTACCTTCCCGACGGAGCGGTACCTATTTATCTACTTGCACTTTGACGTGCTTTTGAACTGCTAGGTTGGCAGGAGCAGGGATCGAGCAACGGGAGCTCACTCTGTCACGGGGATTCAAACCGCTGACCTTCTGATCAGCAAGTCCTAAGCTCTGTGGTTTAACCCACAGCATCACCCGTGTCCCGGATAATCTTGCACCTCACAATTTGCCTTTTAAGAATAGGTCTTAAAAGTACAGTAACTGTACAACTGATTGAATGTAATAAAATTCCTACTGTATTGTTACCAATGCTAAATAGCAACAGAATGGAGTAGCCATATAAAAATTAGGATTGCAGCCTTTGTTGAAACGATTCACATCTTTTTTTTCTAATAGATTGCACTACGTATGTGCTTAGGTAATATTGGCTAAACAGAACTGTGACCACTGAATTGTCAAACCTCAGCTATCCCATGCAAGAAACCAAAGTTTACTAAAACTACAAAGAGTGCAATATTTTGGAGAGCTACTGATTGAGCATGTCAGAAGCACAACCAGGGCACAACTTCCAAGTCACAACTCTCATATACCTGCAATGGAATTGATGTTTTGACCTGAAATGTGACAGAATCACTTCAAGGAAACAGTGTGAAATGCCACATGCCTACTTAATAAAGAGGTGTGAAAAGTATTAAGCAGCCATTTCTAATAATCTTTGTCTGGTTTGGAACAAAAAAGGTTTTTTTAAAAAAAGCATAGAATAAAATGCCTTCCTTTAAAAAAATGTGTACTGGTTTTCAGCTTATAGTTCCATAAGCAATAGCACAAATAACAACTACAACTGTTTTGTTGGTATCTGTCTGTCTTGAGAGACAATGGAGTGCGCCTCCAGGGGTGAAGTCAAACTGCTGCATTAGCAGCACCAAAGTGACCTCTCAGGGGCAGAAGCCTGGGCAGTGTATATGGAAGTCCTGGGCTGCCCAGATGACAAGACCCTCCTCTCAGCCTTGCTGATGTGGGCCAAAGGAAAACACCAGCTTGGCTGCCAGAGTTGCTGCAAGGAGGTAAACAAGGCGCCATTCAACTGTCTTAGAGGCTCCACTCTGGATATCTTACAAGGCTGAGGAGGTTTACGGCAAGTTTTCCTTCTTTTTGAGGGGCTACCTTCCCAGATTGACAAGCCTCATTTTCTTATAGACAGAAGTTATTCAAGGTTTGTCCCGTTTCTGTTTGTTTCCAGGACAAATAGTATATATCTAAGTTGTGTCTTTGAAATATGTCTTACCACAACATGTGGCTTTGGTGGGCTTCAGACATTATCTCTTCTGTTCATAAAATTCATAAAGCCACCCATACATCTTTTCAGTATAGTCATACCTCATGTTACGTTTGCTTCAGGTTACATTCTTTCAGGTTACGTCCTGCAGCGACCCGGAAGTTTTGCCTCTTGCGCATGCGCAGAAGCGCAAAATGACGCCACGCGCATGTGCAGACGTGGCAAATCGCAACCCGCACGTGCGCAGGGTTGCACCCTTTTCACGTTGCAAACGGGCCTCCGAAATGGGTCCCGTTCACAACCAGAGGTACCACTGTATTGTTTCTGGGCCTGAGGCCAGTGCTCACATCATAACAGATGCCACAGTATTAAATGTATAGATTCTGCTGGTTTCCATCTTTTTTCTCTTGTTGCTTATTTACTTTTAAGGTGGACTCTGATCAAAAACCCTACAGAATTGCTGACAGGTCCAATTTGTGATGAAGGCAACTATTTCTCCCGAGCTGGTTTCAAAACTGCAAGATGGAAGTGAAATTGACAAGATGTGTGCAATGAAGAGTCAAATGCACTGGATGGATAGAAACAGGACACAATTTTTTAAATAAGGTTAATATGGAAATTTAACAACCACACATACAAATAACCAAATCAGGCCAGTGATAGAGAAAACCTAGAGTCATCTCTGGAGCCCCCCGGCCACCCGTCTGTACCACCAAATGGCCTCCAGGAACAAAGGCATTGAACTATGGTTTAAACTTTTTGCTCATCCTTGGTCTAAATGAGACATGGGAAACCTATAGCACTCCAAATGGAGTTGGACTACAACTGCCCTCATCCCTAACCATTGGCCGTGCTGGCTGGGCTGATGGTACTTGCAGTTAGGGATGCTAGAGAATTTTGATGGAAATGGAAATGGGAATTTTGATGGAAATTGCTGTTGTTCGCTTATTCATCCCATTGGAAAGGAAATCAATCTAGCAATTTTTTTTCAAAGACACCGTTGATGGAATCTTTCGAGGAGTTGGAGATGGCCTTGTTTCACAAGCATACAGTAAGGTTGGTAGTACAATAGCTTTGTAAACAAGCATTTTGGTTTCCCTGCGAATGTCCCAGTCCTCAAACACTCTGCACTTCAATTGGGAGAAAGCCGCACTCGCAGAGCTCAGGCGATGCTGGATGTTGGCATCAATGTCGGCCCTTGTCAAAAGCCTTAGTCAGGTCAATAAATGCCATATGCAGGGATTGGTTTTACTCTCTGCATTTTTCTTGAAGCTGTCAAGCGGTGAAAACCATGTCCACTGTCCCCCTAGATGGCCTAAAACCATTTTGGGATTCAGGAAGGGTCACCTCGGATATTGTTAAAAGACAGTTTGCTAAGATCCTTACAATAATTTTGCCGGCCTCGGCTGATAGAGAGATGCCTCGATAGTTTCGGCAATCAGTTCTGTCACCTTTTTAAAAGAGATTGATAATTTTGGCATCCCTAAAGTCTGTTGGGATCTCTTCTCTCTCCCAGATTTTTTTGATGAGCTTGTGAAGTTGTTGTGTAAGTTCCATCCCACCCACTTTGAAGAGCTCAATAACATTTGAGCAATCTACCATTCTGTGTGCCTGTTGTCTTTGTCCATGGAGTTTTCTTGGCAGGGATACTGGATTGGCTTGCCGGTTCCTGCTCCAGGTGGATCACATTTGGTCAAAATTCTCCACTATGACCTGTCCATCTTGGGTGGCCCTGCACGGCATAGCTCATAGCTTCTCTGAGTTATTCAAGCCCCTTCGCCATGGCAAGGCAGTGATCCATGTAGGAAGTGAGAGCTGGACCATAAAGAAGGCTGATTGCTGAAGAATGGGTGCTTTTGAATTATGGTGCTGGAGGAGACTGTTGAGAGTCCCATGGACTGCAAGAAGATCAAACCTATCCTTTCTTAAGGAAATCAGCCCTGAGTGATCACTGGAGGGAGGGATCGTGAAGCTGAGGCTCCAATACTTTGGCCACCTCATGAGAAGAGAAGACTCCCCGGAAATAACCCTGATGTTGGGAAAGATGGAGGGCACAAGCCGAAGGGGACGACAGAGGATGAGATGGTTGGACAGTGTTCTCGAAGCTATCAGCATGAGTTTGACCAAACTGCAGGAGGCAGTGGAAGACAGGAGTGCTTGGCGTGCTCTGGTCCATGGGGTCACAAAGAGTCGGACACGACTAAATGACTAAACAACAACAACCATTCTGTAATTTCCAGCAACTTGTATTCAGAAGCATTTGCTGCCCTCAACCATGGAGGCAGAACATTTTCCGACTGGGTTCTCTCTCAGCCCTCCCTGGAGATGCCAGGGTTTGAAACAGGGATCTTCTGTATGCAAAGCAGATGCTGTACCATGGATCCCTTCCCTGGGGTACTGCCTGCTTTTTTAAAGGGGGAAGTATGGCTTGTCCTCAGCCCTTCCCCCTTTAGTAACAACTTTGTATTGATTTTTTCAGGGTGAGAGATCATGCACATGAAATGTGGAAATGGGATGGAACCGACTTCCTTGTGAGCAGATGTGACAGGGACATGAATTAGATTTATACTGATCTGTCTATCCACTGAAACACTCTATAAAGTGTTACAGCAATGGTGAGTATTGCTTTGAGGCATCCCATAGTCTTCTTATGTGAACAGGCAGAGGAGGCAAGGGAAGGCTCAATATGATCCCTCAATTGATTGGCCATCGGTATAGCATATAATGGCTTTTGCAGTTTTTCTTATGCTAACATGTCTCCAGAAAATGCTTCTTTAACCTATTTGAATGTAAATAACATAAAGAATGTGGCGAAAATAGAGCAATATAGTTTATAAAAATACAAAATGCAATTTTAAGTTACAGTGAAGTGAATAAAATATGGATCCAAAATTTGCTGTTTTTTATGAAACTCATTAATCTTACTAATGCTTTATTGGCTATGTGAGTGTTTCAGCACATAAGAAAAATTGATCCCAGGAGCTGCCTTTCTATAAATGCTTTGGTGATCTCTTTTAACTGCAGTACTTCACCTACTTATGATTCTCCTTATCTTCCCTTGAAATGCTTGAATATTGGAACAAATGTGATTTATGGCTGCAAATACTTTAACTGGTTTATTCCATTGATCAGATGGGTCATCAATACTTATATCTTCCTTTGACTAACAATGAGAGGGAAAAACAAAATGACTCAGTTTTTGAAAGGATGTTTTTCTATTGGCAAAGTCTTCCATTTAAACTGCCCCTTCTATTTCATTTTAAAAATTTGTTCGGCACTTTCCCATGTAAAAATGATTAGCAAACATAGTCATACATTAACAAACAGGGTGATGTACACATGGACTTTTAACAATTTGTTACTGTATACTTATTTTCAGATTACTTGATGACTTG